AATCCTATTTATATTGATAAATTTATTTTTCATTGAATAAAATTCCTCCATGAAGTATATATTTAAAAAGAATCACATACCAGTCTTTAGGGAATAAAGGATGTTTATGCGAATTACAAACACATTGATGACATGCTGCGATTTTATTATCATCTAGATCTAATTCTAAAAGTTCGTCCATGTTACGTATAACACACATATCAGCATCTAAAAGACCTACAATATCATAACCTTCAACTTCCCAGGCACGAATTTTAGTCGGCGCTTCTTTAAAATAATCCCACATATATCGACTCGTCTTCAAATTGATACGAGTAATCTCTTTTATTTCAATGAAACGAAAATCATAGTTAGAACCTAGTTGAATTAGCTCATCATAATCATTGCGATTAAGATTTGTTTCTTCTTTCTCGAGGTCTGGTACTAAAACAAGAAGTGGATATTTAGTTTTTACACGCATGAACGATTTGGCGAGACAAACAACACCTGGGAAGTAAGATTTCATAGTCAAAAGAGTGACCCAACATTTTTTGGTTTCCATGGAAAACAATTAGAAAAAGGTGAATTAGCTAATCAAACAACTGTCCGAAGTGAAATGAAGGACTTTGTATATATATTAAATCGACTTTTTTCGTGTACCGTATAAGCGCGAAATAACGCCCAGGGGCGTTAATTCGAAAATCAGATACCCCTAAAATAGTATATGTAGCTTCAAATTAACGCCCATGGGCGTCCCGAATTAACGCGCATCCCTATAAATAAAATAAATGAGTAAAAAGTGCTTCGGAACTATTTGATATTAAGTAAGTCTAATTTTTGACTTTAACAAAAAGTTATTCTTCAGGTAGAGACGATTCTAATGGTAGTAAAATCATCAAAAACGATCCAGTAGTTCGCCGCAATGAATCTTTAAAGTTTTGCAACGTTTGTTTACATAATCCGTAAACAAGGTAAACAAACGTTGCGAAACTTTGAAGAGGCATTGCGGGCGAACTACTGGACTATTTTTGACGATTATAGGTTTACTTAATATTAAATCCAGCTCCGGAGCACCTTTATATTCTTATTATAAGTAAATGCTATTTATTATGGTAAGGGGTGCGAATTTGATTCTTGTTTCGAAATAACGCGCATGCGCGTACTCGAAATAACGCGCAGGTGGGCGTTATTTCGCGCTTGGACGGTACAGTCCTAAAGAGGATCAATTTTACACAGTCTATTATACGTATTACTTTGGATTTACTCATTGCGTCTTTAGCACAATATAATTCCTAATTTATAAATCTCAATAAAATTTCTAATTTATAAACTTCAATAAAATGCTAAGTTATAACTAGAGATGTCGGACAAAGACCCAATAAAAATTACATCTATATCTATCTATCTATCTATATCTATCTATATCTATCTATATACTTTAATTTTGGGTCTGTGCGCTTTAACGTTTTTGATTGGCCATATCCAAAAACTGTGGGAATTTTGGGCGCTTTAACGTTTTTGGCCATATCCAAAAACTATGCAATTATAACATAATTACTGAATTATTAGGATATAATATGCAATTATAACATAATTACTGAATTATTAGGCTATAATATGCAATTATGACATAATTACTGAATTATTAGGCTATAATATGCAATTATGACATAAATACCGAATTATTATAACTGAGAAATTTAAGCAAGAAGCTGTGTATTTTAACGTTTTTGATTGGTCGTTACAAGTTACGATATTCAGGTGATTTGATAAATTGGGTTATCGATATG